AAAATAAATAAATAAATTTCATTGATTTTTTTTTTCATTCATTGAACACATAAATATTTGTGCTAAGTACTGTTCTGTGCACTGAGGATAAGGCACTAAACATAACTGATTAAAAAAAAAAAAAAACACCCTGCCTTAATGGAGTTTACATCTAGTAGGGAAAACACAATAAGCAAGACAAATAACTAAAACGTATAGTAAAATGCTATGGAGGAAAATATAGTTTTTGAGAAGGGGAATAGGGTGTGCTGGAGAGGGTTGCAGTCTTAAATAGGATGAATTGTTTTGTGCTGCCTTTGTTCCATATATAAACACATATTTGTGTGGGGAGGGGGGCATGGGCAATATACGTAACCTTAACCTTAACATTTGTGCCCCTATAATATGCTGAAATTTTTAAAAAATGGAAAAAAAATAATAAGAAGCACTTGTATGATATCAAGAGTAAGTGAACATGTGGGGGAGGGGGGAATGGGCATTTATTGAAACCTTGAAATCTGTACCCCCATAATATGCCGAAATTAAAAAAAAAAAAAAGAAGAAGTTAACAAAAAGATTCAGCACTGAACAGAAAATTCAGCCTACCAGTGAGCCATTTGCCTTTACTTTTGTAGAACACAACAAGATGAGAGAAATTATGCCATCACCTAGCAATGGGCAATGAATATCACAATTCAATTGTAGTGCATTTGCTGCTTGCTTCAAAACAGTTTTTAATCAACATATTTGTCTTGTCCATATGAACTTTATCAGATATTAAAATTTATTTCTTACTGGGAGCTATAGTCAAAAAAGTTTGGAAGCCACTGTTCTAGTGCAGTCTCCTTTGTATGCCCTGTGCCCCGATCATACCCACTCTGGGGAACTAAGCAGTGGGTGTCCAGATTGCTGCAGAATTGGGAAATGAGTGCCTGAGAGAAGAGAACTGGGCTGGGGAAAGCTTTGGAAAGAGAAGTTGAGGCCAGCTGCAGTAGGAGGGAGGAAGGTTAGCTCTCAGGAAGAACTTACTAGTATCAGCTAAGATCTCTTGCACACTCAGCATGTGCTAGGTAGTGCTCTGTTTCACGTGAATTGTGTCCTTTAATCCCCACAAAAGGCCACAAGGGAGGTACTGTTGTTATCCCCATTATACCGATGAGGAAGCACAGGCAAAGAAGTTGAGTGAGTGCTCAAAGAATCCCTGCCTTACCATGGCAGGGCTGCCACGGAGAGCCCTGGCCATCAGGCTAGTGCCACACAGCCCTAGAAGCAGGGAAGGTGTGAGTGAGGCTCCCCCTGCTATCTCCCCAGGTGATACCTCCGTCCTGGTGGGTGTGTATGGACCTGCTGAGGTCAAGGTCAGCAAGGAGATTTTCAACAAGGCCACGCTCGAAGTGATCCTGAGGCCGAAGATCGGGCTGCCTGGTAATGACCCAGCTGAAATTCTGAGTGCCCAGTCTGCAGGGACCTCTCCCCAGCTCCTCCCTGCCCACTGTCCCCAGTCTGCTCCCTCCCCCTTTCTCTCCTCCTTGCCTACATCTCCCTTTCTTTCTATTAAGCTGTTTTCCTGCCATTTTACCCTCTGTCTCCCTCACTGCCCATTGGCTGGGCCCACTGGAGTGGGAATGGGAGGGGCAGCAGCTCAGACGTGGGAACTCCCGGGTTCTCCCACCTCTGCAGGTAACAGGGGTCAGGTGAGTGGCAGTCAGGCCCTGCCCCTTTCCCACTGGCGGGTATCTGTGCAGGTTCCTGCGCTATCCCAGGCTGAGACTACAGACCCTTTACAAAGTCCAGAGGGCTTGGGTGGGGTGTATTGAGGAAGGTGAGGTAGATAGAAGGGAAGAGCCTGACAACCTCCCTCCAATTTCCCCAGGCGTAGCAGAGAAGAGCCGGGAGCAGCTGATCAGGAACACATGCGAGGCCGTGGTGCTGGGAGCATTGCACCCTCGCACCTCCATCACCGTGGTGCTGCAGGTCATCAGTGATGCTGGCTCCGTATCCTTCTCCCCAGGCTGCCACCTCCAGGAAGTCTTCCAGAACTTCACCGATCACCTCTTTTCTTATGGCCATGTACACCCCCTCTGCTAGGCAGAAACCTCCAAGCGCTTGACAGGCACCAACTCGAAGAAGAACAGCAAATGTAGCTTGAGTGCTTACTATTTGCCAGGCAGTGTTCTTAGTTCCTTGTGCATCTTAACTCATTTAATATAGCACACAAAACAGGTGCCATTATAATTCCCATGTAAGTGGCAGGTCTAAGACTTGGGCCAAATCATCTAGTTTTAGAGCCCAGGGACTCTAGCAAATGAGATCTCTTCTGTCCACATGTTTTGGGTAAGGAAACTGAGGCCCAGAAGGGGGAAGTGCCTTGCCTGGTGTCACATGGCTAAAAGGCAGCAGAGGCAGGACTCAAGCCAGGCCTCTCTGACTCCAGTGACCTCTACTCTGCACCTTAGTGTGGATTTCAGGCTCTTAGTGCTGGGGCAGCCCTGAGCAGGAATAGCAGTTGAGAGGTTCAACCTTGAAAAACCCGTGGTTTCAGTGAGTGAGGCTGAGGATAAGGACCAGAATCGGGCCTTCTAGAGAGGGAACTAAAACTCAGGGGAAGCGACAGAGGGTCAGCAGCAGGGCTGGAACCGATCGATCCTACAGCTGGGCCCTCATCTGCTCTGCTGGGCCTAGGGAAGAAAGACATGAGGAAACTGAGGCACAGCCAGCTGACTCTAGACCTGTACTCTGTCTCCACTGGGCCAGGCCACATGCCACCCTTGACTGCAAGCTCCCTGAGGATAGCAGCAAGGATGGCTCTTCCCTCCATCCCCCTGCCAGCTCTGTCACCTGGCAGTGGCTGCCTGCCACATTCCCAGGTTCTGGGCCGGGTTTGCCAGTACCTTCCCCAATGAGACCTTGAAAGGTTTCTTCCCCTCTGTTTCCCTGCAGACACTTAGAACATACTCCCATGTAACTGATGAGATTGAGAATCGAGTAAGTCATTTGTTCCAGATCACACAGTGGAGCAATGGCAAAGCCAGGTCTGGGAGCCAGGATTACTTGATTCCAGAACCACTTTTAACCACTCTGCCACACTGCCTTTCTGTGACTGATTAGTGATGTCTGCCACAGGCATCAGCGGGGTGAAGGGAGGCATGGATGTGTTCTGCCCAGCCCTACAATAGAAACTTCTTAACCACTCCCCGTGGTGCTCAGCTCCTGGCCTGTTGCCTGAATGCTGCCTGCATGGCATTGGTGGACGCAGGGGTGCCCATGCGGGCTCTCTTCTGTGGAGTCACCTGCGCCCTGGACGCTGATGGGACCCTCGTGCTGGACCCCACAGCCAAGCAAGAAAAGGTAGGTGTGAAGACCAGGGTGGCTGGAGGGTGGTGGCCAGACAGCTCTCCCTCTCTTCCTCCAGACCTTGCTTTTCTGCAAGCAGCCGCCTCGTGCCACTTCAGTCCCACGTGGCAAGCTCTGGAGAAGAGAGTTTCCTCCCTGCCTCAGGTTCCTAGTGTCCTAGGGCTGTGGTTATCATTATGAGTTATCTGCCCAGTACTGTAATGGTCACTTCCAGTCAGGTAAATGGAAGCCACTTGGGGTATTTCAGACAAAGGCAGTTGAATGCAGAGAGTTGGTAACAACTATGTTAGAAAAACTAGAGCAAAAAGAAAGGCAGAGTGGCTAACACACCCAGAAATGGGAGGTCTCTGCCAGCCCTGGGCTGAACGTGTGGGCCAGCTCCTGTATTGTGCTGTTGGCAATGGCGTCACAGTCGGTTCTGGATGCATGAAACATATCCTGCCTCTGCCCTGGCTGCTGAAACCCAGAACCCACTCACCTCCATGGCTGTTACTGCAACTGTCACAACCTTTAGCACCTGCCACTGTCACAATGAGGGCCAGGATGCTTTCTCTCTCCTCCTTCCAGGATTACCGGTAGCACCTACCTGGCGAAGGAGTCTGGGAAACAGAGCTTGCTGGCTTCCAGCCCCTGTGAGGCAGACCACAAGGGTTGGTGGGAAGCTAAGAGGCACCAGGAAGGTTGCTAGCCCTGTGGGACAGGAGTGCTGCACTTGGAGAAGCCCCTGTCGGAACCACGTGGTTAAAATGAGGATGGGGAGCAAGTCTACAACGGGAAGGTAGAGAGCTGTTTCCCAGGGAAATGGTGATATATAGACAGAAAAAGACCACACTTGACAGGGGAGCTCCTGGCTGTGACACAGGCAAGGCGTTAAGGCCGAGGGCTTGGAGTCCCCTCTTTGGGACCGGCTGAGATTTTATCAGAGGGGAGTGTTTTAGGTCCCCCAGCACCTTTTACCTCTTGTCCCTAGGAGGCCCGGGCAGTCCTGACCTTTGCACTCGACAGCGTGGAACGGAAGCTGCTGATGTCCACCACCAAGGGGCTCTACTCTGATGCTGAGGTACCAGTGTGGGGATGAGGGTAAAAGCCAGAACCTTCCCTCCCAGCCTCCTATGAGGTCTTGTTTTTGTTTTGGATTTTTGTTTGTTTGTTTTTAAAACTCCTGGGTTCAAGCAATCCTCCTGCCTTGGCCTCCCAGAGTGCTAGGATTATAGCACCCAGCAAGGGCTTGTTCCAACTCTGTCCTGGACTCAGAGGTTTAAGGAGAGCCTCTTCCTTGCATCCCTATCTGTAAAAAATAGAGTTTTCAAACTTTGCAACCACAGAAGCCTTTGTGGAAGTTTTTTAAATGGAAGACCAAGCTATGGGGTACGTCATCAGGGGGTGGGTGCATGTGAAAGCCCCCAGTGCTCAGCTCAGACTTGGAGCCATCTAGAATTCTGGGTCTCTAAGGAACAGAATTTAGAAACTGTTGGGCCAAATAGTCTCCAAGAGCATTTCCGTCGTGGACCCCTATGAATCTAGGACTATGTGGCAGTAAAGATTTGGGGTCAAAGGGCCCATGGCTCTAAAACCCCAAGACTCCTCCAATTCCATAGCTTTTACAAGGCTGGGGTCTCTTCCAGGGAGTCAAGATGCCTGATCCCTGAAGTCCTCACCCTGTTTTTTCTCTTGTTCCTGTAAGAGATCATGAAGTGGGGAAGAAGGAATGCACTGGAAATAATCCCCTTGCCACCTGCCTCACCATGGGGGTGGGGCGATGATGGGAGGTGGTAGGTTTGGGGGTGAAGGGAGTCAGGGGGGATTGGTTGAACCTCCTGGGCCAGCCAGGTTGGGTGTGGGTGCAGGGCGCGGCCCCCAGCTCTGACCAATCTCCTCCCTGTCCCCTCCCCCAGCTCCAGCAGTGCCTGGCTGCGGCCCAGACTGCCTCACAACACGTCTTCCGCTTCTACCGGGAATCGCTACAGAGGCGTTACTCCAAGAGCTGAGGCAAGCCGGGGCAGGGAGCCCCTGCTGCCGCCACTAGCCACTACCTCCAGCCTAAAGCAAACCCACGGCCCAGCCTCACCTCTCCCTGTGTGCTCGTGTCAGCGTGTGGTTCTGCAGCTGCCCGGGCTCCGGTAGGGGACCATAGAGCTTCGCCCCTGACAGCTCCGGGGCCTGGGGGCACAGACCTCCCCTACAGGGACAACATTAAAAGGAACTCACATTTACTGGATGGATTAGTCAGTAAATTCATTCATTCTAACAAATGTGTGTGGAGCACGCATTGCATGAGGCCCTGCTAGGTGCTAAGAAACACCCAGATCCATGTTTCAGGAGCAGTGGGGCACATACTGTGAAAAAATTAAAAAGCAGGGCCCAGGAGTTCTGGAGAGTTCATTTGGAGAGGGCAAACCCAGTACCTTAGCCAGGGACACCTTCCCAGGAAGGGGCACGTGGGGGGTGGGTGCCTGGAGGAGGAAAGGGAGCCAGCTCTTGGATGAGGTGGGGCAGGGCCACCCAGGCATCCAGTGTGGCTGGGGCAGGGTGAGCAAGGGCAGGAAGGGGTTAGGGCAAGGGAGTGGATGTCACAGCACACAGGTAGGGCCTTGTAGGCCCTGGGAGGAATCTGGCTCTGAGCATTCCTTTCCCACCCAGCAGCCCTGGGAGGTGGGGCTGTTACTATAGTCCCCATTTTATAATGAGGCAATGAGCTCAGAAGCCAGTTCACTGCCTGAGGTCACCAGCTTGTCTGCACTGGAGCAAGGGTCCCACCTGAGGGGTCCTGCCCCAGAGCCCTGACCACTGAGACCACACCCAGGGAAGCACCAGCATCCGGCACGCTCTGGACCTTGCATGTCCACCTGGAAATGCAGTTGAGGCTCCTTGTTGGTGATGAGTCTGGTGGTAGCGCCCCCTAGGGGCACTTGGAAATAGGGAGGGTATGTTTAGTTGCCATTTGACTGCTCCCCTCGCCCAACCTCCAGGATACTCACTGGGCTGGAGCCAAGGACCTGTGAGCTTCCTGCAGAGAATACCTGTCCTACAGCCTAGCCATAGGGCTGTGGATCCAGCAGGCCAGCGATGTCTATGGGTCTTCCTGTCTGCCAGGTCCCCTGTCCTGCTGCATGCTAGCAAGCACTTCCTGTGTGCCTCTGGCCCGGTGCCAGTACTTCAGTGGTTCTTTAAGGATCTATTCCTCCTGATCTCAGGCCATTTGGGTTACCCTCACCCCAAGCAGGGCTGATGAGAGTCCACCTGGAAGAGGATTTACACTTTCTGGAAGTACTTAAGCTGCTTGAGCTCCTGGGGCCATATTTCTCCCCAAGAGAGGAGAACTGGCATCGAATGAAGCCAGCAAAGGAAAAGAGGGCCAAGAGACAGAGAGAGCAAACTGTTAATCTCATTTGAGCCCGAGTCCAGATCTACCTCTGTTTTCTTCTCTTTTGTTTGCTTTCGGCAATCGGTCGAGTTTCTCCAACTTGCTGTCAGATGAGCTCGGAGACAGCAAACAGCCGACTACACGTGTGATGCGCTGAACCCTCCCCACAGCCCCAGGTGTGGAGAAAATCGGCTCCGTTTCGCAGATGAGAAAAAGTGAGGCTCAAAGAGAAATTTGGAAACCCTCGGCCCCGTTCTCGAGCTCAGGTCTCGGAGCACACTGGGAATGGCCACCACTGTCTGTCACCTGGGCCAGTCCCGTCCTGGTCTCGGGCACCCCCAACCCCTCCCCCACACACAGACAGACTCTGGTTGGGCTGCAAGGGTGTCTGGTGTTTAATCTCACGTTGCTGCCGCCTGGTGAGCGGTCAGGAAGGGAAGGGGGTCGTCAGGCTCGCTCCGGTTTCCGGATGCTGCTGCCGCCTCATCCGCCTGGATTCTCCACTCTCTGCCCACAGATGCGCTTGGCTGCCCGGCTCTGGGTTCACAGGGGGGGTCGCAGGGCCACAGCTAGGGCGGGTCTCGGGAGGCAAGGTAGGCAGCCAGGGTCACCAGAGCAGCCGCGTACGTGCACACGCCCAGCCCGACGGCGAGGACCCCCAGCAGGAAAGCGCGGCGGGAGGCGGCCCCTGCCCCCTGGACATCCCCCTTGGCCCAAGCCTTGTTGGTCTGTAGAGGCAGTGGGCGGCAGTGACCCAGGCATCCCCTCGTCCCCACCCTGCTTCCTGCAGCCCCTGGCCCCTCCCCTACCCCACGTACTCATTCATTCATATATTCCAAAAACAGAGCACCTACTATGGGCCAGGCACAGCTGGGTGCTGGGGCTGCCGGGTGACTAATAAAAACACACCTAGATTATTATGTGCCACTGTTCTAACTCATTTGATTCTCACAATGACCCCCCTGAGGTAGGAATTATCCTCATTTTACAAATGAGGAAAAAGGCAGAGAGAAGTGACTTGTCCAGAATCTTCCAGATAGTGGCAGACTTGTTCAGGTTCTTAACTACCACTCCAGGCTGCCTTCCATCTCCCCCTCACCCTGAATCCTCCCTCAGGTATTGTTCTTCTTGTTTCCATGGTGCACTTTGCTCTTTTATACCCGGTCCCCTCCCAGTCCCACACACTGACCTTCTGGGCCAGGCAGAAGGCAGCGATGCCCACGGGCCAGAAACAGCACAGCATGGAGAAGACAGCCAGTCCAAGGTGGTCGTGGGGGAGGAGTGGGGAGAGGTGGTCACCCCCATCCCAGTCCGAGTCACTGTCACTGGATGACGTGTCCTACAGGCAGGAGAGGGCTTGGGTGGGCATTTCCACCCACCACCCTACCCCACCGCTCCCCTCCCCATAGCCCCCAAAGACCAACATTTCCCCAGAGATGCAAAGAGAAAAATGTTCAGAGATGGGCTTTCGACGTCTCTGCATCCAGGAGCTCTTTGAGAAGCTGTGGACCCTGTCACCAGAGAAGAGCCCCACCCACACCCAAAGTTTTGAGTTTGTTTGCAAGGCCCGATCGTAGACATTGCAACTGCTTATAATCTCTAAGTTAAAAGCTCCTGAAGTAGAGACCAGACACCATCAGGAACAGGAACCTGCAAAAAGATGACAGATTATAAAATGTTCCAAAGGCCTAAATGATTAGGACAAATCTGCCTAAATCATAGCTCACTGTAACCTTGAACTCCTGGCCTCAAGCAATCCTCCCCTCTGGCTTCCCAGGCTTCCCACTGTGCAGGGATTACAGATTCCCAGAACATTTCCAAGCAAACCTTGAATGAGATTGCAAACTAGTAGTGCCCCCAGGCAACTGACAGAAGCAAACCAAACCCTCTCTGCAGGAGTACGCACCTTCATTCTAGGCTTCAAAACAATTTTTCCTAAAAATGATTTTTCAAATACAATGACCACAGCATACTGGCTGAAGATAACCAGGCATACAGAGAACCGTGACTGTGAACTGGCACAAATGGTAAGGCCCTCAAAGTCTTCAGATGCTGTAATTACCAGAGACAATGTCAAAGTGATGGGCGCTATGTGTGGCACATTGTGTTTTCCAGAAATGGCCACAATATAATCTCTTTCATCCCACATGCTTTTCTTACAGCGTGAGTTTGATATGCCTCCCATCAAGGGATGAGGTCTGCGTCCCCTCTCCTTGAATCTGAGCTGGACTGGTGACTCACTTGCAATTAATAGAATGTGGTGGAAGTAACAGTACACGAATTCCAAAGCTAAGACAGAAAAGTTGAGGCAGCTTCTGCTTTGCTGAAACATCTATGGTGGAGGCACACGTATGTAGTGCTACTGCCCGGAAGCCATCATGCTGCTCTGAGAAACCACAAACAACTCACGGGAAGAGACCACGAGAGAGTACATGAAGACAGAGAGGTACCCAGCCAGCCCCTGACCGTTCCAGCTCCAGCCACGGGCTGACTGCAACCTTATGAAGGACCCTGAGGCAGAACCACTGAAATAGGTCTTTCCCAAATTCCAGACCACCAGAAATTGTGAGAGTTAATGATTGTTGCTTTTTGAAACTACTAAGTCTTGGGGTGATGTCTTATACAACAGTAAAATGAAAGACAAGTTTGACAATGTGTACAAGGAATAGTCAATTATAACAAGTTTGACTGGCTTTAAAAAATAAATAAATCAGCCGGGCGTGGTGGCTCACGCCTGTAATCCTAGCACTTTGGGAGGCTGAGGCGGGGCGGATTGCTCAAGGTCAGGAGTTCGAAACCAGCCTGAGCGAGACCCCGTCTCTACCAAAAATAGAAATAAATTAATTGACCAACTAAAAATATATATACAAAAAATTAGCTGGGCATGGTGGCGCGTGCCTGTAGTCCCAGCTACTCGGGAGGCTGAGCCAGTAGGATCGCTGAGCCCAGGAGATTGAGGTTGCTGTGAGCCAGGCTGACGCCACGGCACTCACTCTAGCCTGGGCAACAAAGTGAGACTCTGTCTCAAAAAAAATAAATAAATAAATAAATAAATAAATAAATAAATCAGCCGGGCGCGGCACGCCTGTAATCCTAGCACTCTGGGAGGCTGAGGTGGGCGGATTGCTCGAGGTCAGGAGTTCGAAACCAGCCTGAGCAAGAGCAAGACCCCGTCTCTACTATAAATAGAAAGAAATTAATTGGCCAACTAATATATATATAAAATTAGCCGGGCATGGTGGCACATGCCTGTAGTCCCAGCTACTCGGGAGGCTGAGGCAGAAGGATTGCTTGAGCCCAGGAGTTTGAGGTTGCTATGAGCTAGGCTGATGCCATGGCACTCACTCTAGCCTGGTCAACAAGCAAGACTCTGTCTCAAAAAAATCAATCAATCAATCAATCAATCAAGGCCGGGTGCAGTGGCTCACGCCTGTCATCCTAGCACTCTGGGAGGCCGAGGCAGGTGGATTGTTTGAGCTCGGGAGTTAGAGGCCAGCCTGAGCAAGAGGGAGACCCCGTCTCTACTAAATACAGAAAGAAATTAATTGGCCAACTAAAAATATATAGAGGCTGGGCGGATTGCTCAATCCTAGCACTCTGGGAGGCCGAGGCAGGTGGATTGTTTGAGCTCGGGAGTTAGAGGCCAGCCTGAGCAAGAGGGAGACCCCGTCTCTACTAAATACAGAAAGAAATTAATTGGCCAACTAAAAATATATAGAGGCTGGGCGGATTGCTCAAGGTCAGGAGTTCGAAACCAGCCTGAGCAACTTCGAGATCCCGTCTCTACTATAAATACAAAGAAATTAATTAGCCAACTAATATATATAGAAAAAATTAGCCAGGCATGGTGGCAAATGCCTGTAGTCCCAGCTACTCGGGAGGCTGAGGCAGGAGGATCGCTTGAGCCCAGGAGTTTGAGGTTGCTGTGAGCTAGGCTGACGCCATGGCACTCACTCTAGCCAGGGCAACAAAGCGAGACTCTGTCTCAAAAAAATAAATAAATAAATGAATGAATGAATGATCAAAAGTGATATTAAGTTGAAAAAAAGAGAGCGGGGCAGACAGAGGCCAGAGGTGCACTGGCTCTGGAGACAGGCAGATGGAGCACAGAGGGGTCAGAGACCAGAGGGAAGACAAAAGAGCCAAAGGCAGAGAACAAAGATGAGAGAGAAATCTGGAGAGAAAAGGTAAAGAAATCAGGGAAAACCGTCACTGGAAATGCCAGAAGCCCACACATGGTGGGGAAGTGAGACTCCAGGCATAAAGCAGATACCTCCAGCTGTCAGCCTGCCAGATGTTGGCCATAGCTGAGTTCACCCCCAACTCCCACCCATGGCTTCCACTAAGACCTCCAGTTCCTACCTCATCGTCAGGGGGCCCTGGCTCCCCTAGGCCAGCGCTCACGGAGGGAAGAGGTGGAAGTATGAACTGCCAACCCCTCAGGGACTCCACAAAGGCTGTCTCTCTTAAGAGAGGCCCCAGCTCAGGCTGGCCAGCCTTCTGGGCAGGGGGCTCACAGCCTGTGCCTGCCAACAGAGGCTGCTGGAGCTCACGAAGACCAGGGCTGTCCATGGCTGGGGGGGGGGGGGACTCCAGGAGGGTTTTTCCTGGGGATAGCAGGAAGAAAAAGATAAGTTATAAAAGTCTCACTTCATCTATCCCCTGACCCCTGACTTTGGAGAAAGTAATGCAGTAACCAGTTAGTTCAATGACCCTCAGATCCATTTTACAGATAGGGAAACTGAGGCCCAGACAGTAAAAGAGGCTGGCCCAAGTTACCAAAGGAACTCATGGGTGGGGACATTCAATTCTGGGCTTCTCTCTCAGGCTAAAGCTACATACCTGTTCCACACTTATTCCAAACCATGCCTTACACACTGCCCCAATCCCCCACCCCAACCCATCCCAGGTGCACATCTCTTAACTACCCATCCAGGCCACACACCCCTCCCAGGTACTCATCCATCGCCCTACCCCCAGTGCTGCCTGGAACTTCACCCTAGTCCACACTCCCCCTCCCTTGTCCCCCAGACCTACACCCCAAGTCCCCTGCCACACTGCCTCATCCAGGCAATCCCAACCCCCACCGCACACATACATCTCCCAAAGGCCTCCTTGTATACTTGCCCCAAACACACCTCTCAGGCCTGCAACCTTCTCACACATTTATCCCAAGTAACTCCTTGCACATTCCTAATCCCCAGAGCATGAGACCCCCCCACACACACACACCCAACACTGTCCCCTGTCCCCATCACTTCCCACATACACCTGCCCCAAACACTCATCCGGGTCCACGCACCTCTCCACCCACACCCATCAGTTCTCCAAACACGTCCTGGTTTACCCGAATCCTCCTTTGCACACCTTGCCCCCTAACACCCTCAACCCTAGCACGCACACACACACTCAGCACAGCCAGAAAAAATATTCTTCTCGCCCTACAATCCCCCCCAGAGGCCCTCAAGCCTCCGGCCCGCTCACTGCGAACCCTGACTTAGCCAATTTCCCAGCAAAGGCTACCCTCCTCCTCCCCTGCGCCAGGCCAGGGGGAGGGGCGCTGCCCCACCCCCGCCCCCCACTCACCGCCCACGGTCTCAGGCCGGGACCGCCGGGGCCCCTGCACGGATACCCGCCCAGACCCCGCCACCAGCGGCGTGCGCAAACTCGGCGAGCCCCGCGTTCCACCGCGGGGCCGGGGGCGCGGAGCCCGAGTGCTGAGCTCCTCTCGGGTCTCGGCGCCCCGGGCCCGCTGCGCGCAGGGGCGGGGATGGGGCGGGGCGACGGCCTCCCGGGCTCCGCCCCCTGGCGACGGCCTGGGATGGGGCCTTGAAGGCCGACGTCAGCGGCCGGCCCGGGTCTCTGCCACCCGCTTGTGTGGGCAAGCAGGCGGGAGACCCAGAGCACAGCAGCCCCTCACCCCCGAGCCCAGGCCCAAGTGCTGCCGACTGCAGGAGGGAGCGCCCCGAATTCTCCAGGGCCTAGTCCTGGCTTGGCCCCGCCTCCCTCCCCCGTCCGCCATCGTCCAATAATAGCCAATAATAATAATAACAGCAACGACAGTCAACTGCATGCCTTGTTTTAAGTGCTTTACATGTATACTTACACATTTATTCCTCAGATCAACACTAAGAGGCACTATCATTTATTGTCCTGTTTTACTCGGGAGGAAACAGGCAAACAGAGGTCAGGTAGTTTGCCTAAAAGTACACCCTGGGTTCACTGAGTGCAGACCACGCCCTGTGTTAAACCCTTTACATTCATCCTCGCATTCATTCCTCCCAGTAGCTCTGTTTATGTTCCTATTTTGCAAAAAAAAAAAAAAGAAACTGAGGCTCAGAGGTGTATGCTTACTTGGCCACAGTAAACAACTGGTATTAGGAGCAGCAGATTGTCACCCAGAGCTGTGTTCTTTGCTGACCCAGTGGGAGGGGAGGAGGCAGGAGGCAGAAGGGGCTTCTAGGGCCGAGGAGTGTGGCCCAGGATGGGGTGATGCGCTGATTAGCAGGTGGTTTGGTAGTGTTCATGAGTTAGTGTTTGGATCCACAGAGACTTGGTTTCCTTTCCAGACTCTTTAAGGCACTGGCTGTGTGACCTCTGAACAATGGCTTCGCCTCTCTGAACCCCAATTTCTTCATCCATAAAATAGGGATAATACTCCTTGCCTCTTAGATGTGATAACATACATAAAATACTTGGATTTGGCACTATAACAAATGTCCAACATTTACCCAAACCCTGCCAGAGTAAGTGCTCTGAACACGTTTGACAGTGTTTATTAATATTATTATTTAAATCTGTCCTCATGTTTAGAGAACTCTCCTCGCCCTGCAAGCCTCTGCCTCCTTCAGCGAGTCGTGCATTGGGCTTCCCCTTCCCAGAAGCCCTCCATCTCCAGACTGGAGGATTTCCCGTCCTGATGTGGGGCCACCGGAGTTCTCTAGCTCCAGGGCTCCAGGGCTCCATGCCAAGAGTCCAGACGCTGGAGCTGGCATCGGCCCCACTCCTGGGGAGAACAGATGGCGTCTGCAAGTGCACTTGGCTCAGCCAGAGTTTCTGGCAGACTTCTGGCAGACGACAGAGACAGGGAGACCCACGGAGGAGAGGGAAAGGGGGCAGGACTGTTTTCTCCGGGAGGATTACCCTGTTACTATCTCTTTAACCTTGCTCTAGTTGTTTTCTCACATTTCCATGTAACATATATATTTCTTTTGTTCCTAGTTTGCATCTTTCCACATCAGTATCCACTCAACGGGGGCTAGGATTTGATCTCTTTTGTTCACTGCTTTGCCTCAGGGCCTAAAACAGTGCCTGGCACAAAAAGGGCCTTCCTTACATATTTGTGAGATGAGGGCATGAATTCCCACCAGCCTCACTTTTTTATCGAATCACTGAGCTCTTTGGGTCCCATTGTCCCCCAAGCCACCCTAGAGATTAACTCACTTCTAGTTAGAGCCCTCTGGTGACAGAGCCAGACTCCTGTCTCAAAAAACGCACACAAAACAAAACAAAACAAAACCTTTTAATTGTAAAATACAGATAACATTTACCATCTTAAGCTTTTGGGTTTTTTTTTTTTTTTTTTTTGAGACAGAGTCTTGCTCTGTCACTCATGCTATAGAGCATCAGTGTACCTCACAGCAACCTCAAGCTTCTAGGTTCAAGCTATCCTCCTGCCTCAGCCTCCCCAGTAGCTGGGACTACAGGCGTCCACCACCATGCCTGGCTTTATTTTTTTTCTATTTTTAGTTGCCTGGCTAATTTTTTTTTCTATTTTTAGTAGAGACAGTGTCTCTCACTCTTGCTCAGGCTATCTCAAACTCCTGAGCTCAAGGGATCCTCCTGCCTCGGCCTCTCAGAGTGTTGGGATTACAGGCGTGAGCCACCTGCCTAGCCAGATTTTGTCCTAATTTCATTTCAAGTAAAAAGCTGATAATATCACCTCCCCGGTGGGATATATGTGAGAATTCAAGGAGGCAATATGTGTAAAATGACTAGTTTACAGGGGCTGGCAAATAGGAATCCCTCAATAAGTGGTAGTTTTAAAATACGTATCTTAGTGAAATATTCTTTTTTTTTTTTTTTTTTTGAGACAGAGTCTTGCTTTCTTGCCCAGGCTAGAGTGAGTGCCGTGGCGTCAGCCTAGCTCACAGCAACCTCAAACTCCTGGGCTCAAGCAATCCTACTGCCTCAGCCTCCCGAGTTGCTGGGACTACAGGCACGAGCCACCATGCCCGGCTAATTTTTATATATATATATTAGTTGGCCAATTAATTTCTTTCTATTTTTATAGTAGAGACGGGGTCTCGCTCAGGCTGGTTTTGAACTCCTGACCTCGAGCAATCCGCCCGCCTCGGCCTCCCAGAGTGCTAGGATTACAAGCGTGAGCCACCGCGCCCGGCCGTTAGTGAAATATTCTATTGAATTATTTTATTTATATAAATGTTAACCCACTGAAATATTGTCCACTCCCTATAATTTTGAATTGGTAAACTGTATCTTTTATAATCCTCATTTTTGAGAATCTAGGCTGCAAGAATAAAAGATTTAGGTTCAACTGGACTTAGACGGTGGGAAAGGCACTGCTCAGGAATTCAGACAGGGTAGGTACCTTCTGAGTTCACTCTCCCTGCGCCCACTACATGGGTGAGACAACTGAGACTTAGAGCAGGGCAGGGTCACAAGAAAAAGTACTGGCTGTGTCCAGTCTTTGAAAACAAGATTTTCTGCAGATAAAGGGACCTCAGTTCCTCATTTCTCATCCCCATCCCCTTGCTCAGAATCAGGAACTAACAGTGAAGAATTTGGCAATAGCTCTGAGAAGTTGGACTTACTGGTCCTAGAAAAGCCTGGGGGAAGTCTGAAAACGGAAGGGTAACCCACTCCCCAATTTCTCGCGTCTCTTTGAATAAACAGTGACTCCCGTTTTCCAGTTATAAAGCAGGGGGAGAGATGCAGTGACTGGGGGGTTATTACCCCTTTGTCCTGGCTCGTCTCTGATTTGTGATCCTGAACTGGAAAGAGTTTGTCGGGCGGTGGGCAGGTCACGGGGAATCGAGGGATTTGCTTGTTTTGTATATAGGGTATCAGGAGGAAACAGTAGGCGCTCAAACATTCTCAGCCACACTCAAGATGGCAGCTGCCAAGCCACGCCCCAAAAGGCGGAACCCTCAGCAGTTGGAGAGACACTATTTTCCCAAAAGAGAGAGAGAAAACGTCCATCACAGATTCGCCCCGCCTCCGATGGCATCTAACGCCAATCAGAGACGTGCAAGGCGGGTACAAGGTCAGGGGCGGAGCCTACTGTTACCCCAGCAACAACCAGGGACCCCAAGGCGAGCGCGGCCGCAGAGGTACAGCGCCTCAGATCTCTCGCTGCGAGGTAGGTCCTGGGAGAGGCGCGAGCTAGGTCTGATCGGCGCCCGCGGACAGAAGGACACGACAGGCCAGGCCCATGAACTACAATCCCGGCTGCCGCCTTCGCCTCTTCTAACCGTTAGGTATTCGGAGGTAGGAATAACGCATGCGCTCTGCTTAGGGCTGGGGCTCACGCCTCTCTGACCTCGAAACGCATGCGCCTCTTGGAGCTTGGGGGTGGAGCTGACGCAAGGGGGCGGGACTCTTGCGCCCGTGGGCGGAACCATAAGTCCGTTGGGCGGGGCTTTCTGCGAAACTGAGCCGAAAGAGGAGGTTGTTACAGACCTGGCAGAGTTAGATGCTGGCGCCCCCCATTTTTCCCCGGACTCTCCTGGGGCAGGGGAGAGGGGGGATTTAGAATCTATGGTTAAGACTGCAGCCTCAGGGATTTAAAGAAACTAGCTTGGAATCCTAGCACTACCCCTTCTTTGGTGGGCCTGTTTTCCCACCTGTCAGATGGAGATAATACACTTATCTCACTGGGCTGTGATTTTATTTTTCCTCCCAGGGCCATGGCTGAGGTACACGTGATCGGGCAGATCATGGGGGCCACCGGGTTCTCGGAAAGTAGCCTCTTCTGCAAGTGGGGCGTCCACACAGGTATTCCACCAGGTTCATTTCCCCACCAAGACCCCCAGTCTAGAGGCTCCATGCTCCTTCCTTGACCCCCTCCCCCTGCCCCTCATCCTCATCTTCCATCTGCTCCCAGGACTCCTGGCCCAGACCACACTCCCTGTCCACGGATGAGTCTCATGCTCCCTTCTTATCCCATCCTGTCCCCCTCTAAGGAGTCTGGCTCCCACTCTCTGAACAGGATATGGAACTATAAGATAGACCCATTGACACACTTTTCAGTCCTCAAACCTCTGGACAGCCCTAACTGTCCTGTTTGGATTACACACACTATCTTAGGGATGTCCTGGGTCTCTCCCCCATATCTTACTAACCCTTTGGTTAACAGTCTCCATTATTGAGTTCTTACAATAAAGTGCAAGTTTCCATCCCAATTTTACAGAAAAAAGCCACCCTCTGGTATTCATAATTCTCTGCAAGAAGGTAGGAACACCATCCTGGTAGTCATCCAAGTCCATCCACAGAGGCCCACTGAAAAAAGAAAAAGAAAAAAAAAATAATAATTTTACTGGTAGGTAAGGTGGTAGTTGAGATTCTCTGGGAAATTGAGATCCTCCAGTTGAGTAGATAAGAGGCAGGCCTGAAGTCAGACTTGGTTTCCAGTCTGGACTCCACCACTCACCGGCTCTGTGGCCCTAGGCAGATGCTGTCCCCTCTTGGAGCTTCCGTTTCCTCATTTGTCCTTCATGTGGCTGTTGGGAAATCTTGTATGCAAAGAACCTGACTCAGGGCCTTGTACTTTCCCTCACCCAGCCCAGAAGGGAGTAATGACTACATGCTTTCTTTTTCATTAGCATTATTTCAAGGAATAGTTGGAGTGTTAATTTAGCAGAGAGCTCTGAGACAGTGGATTAAAGGCTTGGGCTCTGCATTTAGACAGAGTTGAGTTTGAATCAAGTTCTGT